TTCATCGCAGACCACATTTGTGGTGTCTCTATCTGATGTCAATGACAATGCCCCCACCTTCTCTCAGGATTCATACTCTGTGGACATCCCAGAAAATAATGCACCGAGCACACCCATCGCCACTGTTTCTGCCACTGACCTGGACCTCGGTGAGAATGCTCACATCACCTACTCCATCCTCCCCAGCATGGTGCAGGGCTCACCCATTTCCTCTTATGTCTACATTAACCCAGATAGTGGTCAAATCTACAGCATGCGTTCCTTGGACCATGAACAGCTTAAAGTATTCCGTATAGAGGTGCAGGCCCGGGATGCTGGAGTGCCCCCTAGGACAGCCAATGTCACCGTTCATGTGTTTGTGGTGGATTTGAATGATAATGCACCAGTGATTGTTCACCCTTTTTATCCAAAGGACAAAGGATTACAGTTCACAGTGCCCCCTTCTGCAGTCCCAGGGCATCTCATAAATAAACTTGTAGGGGTGGATGAAGACAGTGGGCACAATGCCTGGCTGTTCTACTCCATTGCCCCAGGACCAAATGCTGGAATGTTTCGTATTGGGGCTCATACTGGGGAGCTGCGCACAACTCGCAAGTGGACTGAGGAGGATGGGGGCTCAGTATATGACATTGTGGTCATCGTTCAGGACAATGGTGACCCCCCCAAAACCTGTACTGTAAATATTACTATAACTGTGGATGAGAAGGGTGCAGTCAATGATATCCCAGCCAGACCTCGCCAAACACCCTTCTACAAAAACACAGGGATGTCGGACATCACCTTGTACCTTATTATTTCTCTGGCCTGCGTGTCCGCTGTTTCCTTTATCACATTTGTTGTAGTTATGGTACGCTGCCTGAGGCACCGTGACCCAGGGCTGGGAGACTCAGATTGCTGCTGCTGCTACGGACGCCACAGGTCTAGTCGCTACCATCACAGGCCAAGCAAGGACCTGCACCTGCAGCTTAACACTGACGGGCCCATTCGCTACATGGAGGTGGTGGGAGGGCCCCAGGATGCACACACACGCACCTACAGGCCCTGTTACTCCACGATATCAAGCCGAAGTGACTTTGTATTTATGAAGACACCCATG